GGCTACACTAATAATTTCTAATCCAGATACAAGAATTTCACAAATTCAAAAGCTCTATTCATTAGTTTGACTAGTATATAGGAGAGAGACATCTTCTGATAAAAAGTCACACATATTTAAAGTTCATCTTACTTCAAAAATCTTTTAAGAAATTAAAGAAGCTAAGGAGAGTTGCTTCTAAAATCTAGCTAAGCAAGCCTAGGTAAAGAGAAGGACATTCTCTCAAGTTCTTTGATTAAAAGAAACTTAAGTTATCCACCTGATACACTGCGCTTCCTGTTTGGTGTGCTCCACTGGAGACCCTCCCACTAACTCCACCTCCACCTTCACTTTACCTTTGCCTTGTTCAGTCATGAAACGGTCACCACTTAAGGGTTCAAGCTGCTTTTCTGATGTAGGACAGGTTCACTACTACCCTAAACTTTGGGGTAATTTCTAGTAACGTGTATAGGTCCTTCCAGTCCTCTAATGAGGCATTTTGTTAAACACTACTGAAGAAAACACGTAAGAATGTGAAAAATTAAAGATTAAAACTCTTACAAGTCTATTCCTAGAGTTATGATTTATGACATCAGACTGGGAAAAAACAAGGACTGATGCCATATTTCTGAAAGGTAAGAAAAAAAATCACTGGTAACTGCTATACTGAGTATGGAGCAGATGTGCTATTAAAATTACAGAGCTGGCTTTATATTAGAATCTTTTTTTTTTTTTTTTTAGTTCCAAAGTATATCCAACAAACTGCCATCAGAATAATAAGGCAATAATTGATGTAAGGTTGCAGACAATCAAGTGCAGGCTCCAAGTGGGGAGCACGAATGGCACACGCTTCAGTGAAAGCGGGAGCTGGCTATGGCATCAGAAGACCTGATCAAATTCTGGGTGCTCCAACCATCAGCACAATGATTTTGGGCACCTACAAAACCTTTGCTTTGTTTTTCGTCACTTACATTGCAGAAACAGCTACAGCTCCCTACCCTATCTCCTCCCAGTTTTTTTTTTTTTCCCAGTCCTGTTTAAAAGGAAAACTTTTTCTGAAACTGGTGGTATCATTTTTACATTTTTATCACGTTAGCTTTCTGAATCTCCATTTTCTGTTTGTTTCATACAGATTATTAACTTGCTTTATTATCACAGAGTTGAAATCATGGGCCATTACAACATTATATGATACCCTAGGAAAATACTATACTTTAAAAACAATCACAACTCAAAAGAAACAAAATCTTACTAGAAAAAGGCACAAACACAAGACAATATACTGTATTTCACTGAAATTAAGTATAGGAATTAGAATTATCTCGTGTACCACTTGTGTTATGTAAGTTATATCCTCACAGCACTTCTGTTATTGTTCTTTTCCCCCCTTGAGACAGGGTCTTGCTACATCATTCTGGTTGGCCTTAACTCCCTCACTGTGTAACCCACGCGGGCCTCAAACTCACAGTGATCCTCCCGACTCCCAAGTGTTGGGACTACAGGCGTGCACCACCATGCAAAGCCAACTACTGTTTTGTGACGCTGGGATCAAACCCAGGGCCTCACACATGCGAAGGCAAGCACGCGAACTCTGGACTACACCTAGTGCTTTCTCTAATTACAGAAAACTTCAAATACAAAAGTAAAGAGGCTGCTGCAGTGAAATCCCATATAACCATAGCCTCACCTCTAGAATTTTTAATTCATGGTCAATTTTATCTATTACCGTCACAGTTTCATTTGCAAACATTGGACATCATATAATTTTATGAATAAGTATTTCAATGCGTAACTATTTTAAGATGTGCTCTTTTAGGGAAAAGCATCCCTCACACCATTATCACAACGTAAAAGCCGACAGTCATTCTTTAATATGAAAACGTCTACTCAGTTTTCCACACTGTCTCAAGAGTTGCATTTTCTTAACATTCTTTTTATAACACATTAGAACAAGGATCCAAATAAGAGTCATTCATCGTGACTGGCTGAATGCTGCTTTAACTACAGGTTCCTCTCCTCCGTTTTTTAAACGCCTTACAATCTGTTGCCCAAAGAAGTCGGTTAACTTGTTTTGCATTTTGTTAAGGGCATCCCTTGCTGTCACCTACCATGCACCTCTCTTCCTGTGTGTCTTACGCATCTGTGCAGTGGGCCGTTTTTTGGTTGGGAGTCGGGGGAACACCACTCCCTTGTGATGTTATTCACTTATGCCCAGGTGTCTCTCCTTCTGTGAAGCTACCAGCATTGCTCACCCAACACAATCAACTCAGCATGTGTGACAGGCGCGGTGCAACCCACTGAACTCTTTCTTGATCAAGGAAGGACAGTAACAACTACCGTGATTGTTCCGCTCCTGTTTAGAAGGAGCCCGAGTGAAGCCAGGTAGGCGGTGCCTGCCTGTAACCCCAGCATCTGGGCTGAGACAAGAGATCTCAAGCTCCAGTCCAGGCTGAGCAACTTAGCAGGACACACGTGAGGAGGGCAGGGCTCAAGCAGAGGCCCTGGGCTCCATGGCAGAGGGAGGGAAGGGAGCAAGGGTGGGAGACGGCCCGCCGGCTGACCAGCACGGGTTTGCCTAAGACTTCTAGCGGCCGGGACAGAGACAGAGAAAGCTGCTGCTGTTTCGAGCCACCATCTCTGTACCATTTATCGCGGCACATATAGGAAACCAGCCGTAGCTTTTTCTGTTTTTAAATCAGGTAACTAAAATGACAATGTAAGAGAAATAAACTGGTGAAAATATTCCTAAAACTCCTTTACAGATAGAATCCAAGTTTTTCAAATTACTTTTCAATTCCTGGGTTTTCGATGTACATTTTTTCACATAATACCACCCTCTGTGGGACCAAAAGAAGTGGTGACTTCTTCCAAAAAATCACTGGAAACTAAATTCCACTGGCTTTGCACTTACATATGTAGAATTGGCCAACTTCTGACTCCCTGGGGACGCTGGCACACATATCTGACTAATTCTTCCCAACACGCCCACTCAGCAAGGGCCAAAGGCTTCAGAGAACTCACAATTATCGGGAGACTCCCCCAGGCTTGACGGACAGCACCTTCTAGTAGCAGGAGGTGACAAGGACGCTCCACCTGACCAACAGTGTTTATACAGGACAAGTACGACAGTGTCATTGTGGGGATGTTACAATGTGAGAAAATGGGCCTCCTCAGTACTGCTCACGTACGGGACAAGCCAGCTAAGTCCTGAAGACAAAGCAACATAACCTTAGACCACAGTTAGCCTATTACTTCTTCTGACAGCTTTGGAGATTTTCTGGCAGGTTACTATGTCCCATCCTTTTGTAATAATCTCGGCCATGGTTTTTTTTGTTTTGTTTTTGTTTTTCCCCCGGCCATGTTAATTCTTCTAAAATGGCTAACTGAATGAAAAACAAAAACTTTGAATGGTGTTTGCTTGTTCTCAGTTAACCCTTGTGGTATAATACATAGCAATGTTAGTTGTTTTGGTCATAAGTCTTTTATTTTTCCAGTATTATTTCTGATTACAACTAAAATAATACATTACAATTTAAGATGAATGCATCTTACCTACACATGATACATAAACATCCACCTTCCTCAGAGGATCTCTATTTGAGGCAGACATCTCAAGTGCAAAAACAAGACTGCCCTTCATGCCTACATAAGCGTAATTCACAATAAAAACGGCACATATTTAACATAAACTACTATATGTTTTGCTACAATAATCCCTACAATCAAGCTAATATACTCATCACTTCACAGCTACCATTCTTCTTTTTTTGCCCCTTGTGATGAGAAATTTCAAGTGCACAGAGTGTACTGGTAGCTATATACACACTGTTGTGCACTAGTCTTCATTTTTTTTGTCTTTTTGAGACAGGGTCTCCCTGTGCAGTTCAGGCTGGCCTTGAGCTCACTTTGCAGCCCAGGCTGGTCTCAAACTCTCAACGATCCTCCTGCCTCAGCCTCCGGAGTGCTGGGATCACAGGTGTGCGCCACCACGCCCGGCTTGCACTAGTCTTCAGAACACTCACTCTGCTTACCTGAACCACTGTATCCTTGGACCAACATTTGCGGGTTTCACCCTCAGGGCACTGCCACCATCGCTTTACTCTCAAAAGACCGTATTTAATGACCTTCCTGAGCCCTCTCCTACCAGCCTGCTCCAGCTCCGTGGATGGTCACTCTCACTGCACTTGCTCAGGCCAAGGCCCTGTAGCAACCCTGGGCTTCTCTCTCCATGTATTCTACAATTCATCAACACTTTCAGTTTGTTTCAGCCTTGAAATACAACACACACAGCCACACATCACTTGGCTAGCCTAGAAAATAAATGCCCACCTCCTTGCTCATGAACGGCTTATAGCAATGTGTTCTCGGGAACGGAATAAACAGCCTAAACCCAAGGGGGTGTCCCAGAACACTGCAGATGGTGTCTTTTTATTCAGGCCCTGCTAAAAAGCCTTCTTGAATTGGAGAACTATGAACCAAACACAAATAAAAGACAGAAATATTTGACTAGTCTTTTAAATAGTATGTCAGAGGTACTTTAATTCCAAACGAAGTTTCAAATCAGAAGTGTGGCTAAAGCTAAGCCACAACTGTCTCCAGAAATTATTAATTTGTTCCTGACTACCGTTCTACTGTTCCCAGTTACTAATCCACAAAGTATTTTACTATCTCCAAAAAGGACATCAGTGCTGCTCAGTAGTGTTAAGAATACCATGTAGGTTGCTAAATACATCACTGAGAAATGCTCTCCTCTCTCCCTTTCTTCCTCCCTCCCTCCCTCCCTCTCTCTCTCACGCGCACACACACACACTCCCCCGCTTCCCTCTGAACGAGAAAAAGGAGGAGGGAACAACATAATGATTCCACAAAAGCAAAGCTTATGTAGGCTGTAACACAATGAACAGTTCTGTGCCCAAGTATCTTCTATACCAAAATACTACTCGTGAGAACTTTGGCACAAGAATTAAATTTAAAACAACAACAAAGAACGTGAGCAAAAAAAAAAATAACACCCCACTTACTATGTAGCAATGTCAAGTCATAAAATCTCGCACTTAACAGATCTTCTCTGATGCTGGCCTTTTTTCTGCAAAAGAGAGAAACTGTCATTCTGCTCATTTTTAACTCACTGACCATCAAAATGAAATCTACTGTGTATTAATTTTATTAACTGCCCTTAAAGTCTAGTAAATGTTTTAAATAATATTCTCACAGATTCCCATAAAATATGAGAATGCCAACCTAGCCAGGCTTGGTGGCACATGCCTGTAATCCCAGCACTCGGGAGGCTGAGGTAGGAGGATCGTTCGAAGTTCAAGACCAGCCTGGGCTACAAAGTGAGCTCAAGGCCAGCCTGAACTGCGTAGCGAGACCCTGTCTCAAAAAAAAAAAAAAACTGAAGAAAACAAAACAAAACAAAGGAAAGCCAACCTGTATTTTTACATATAATGAGTACGACCATCTCAGAATTCAAACAACGGTCTTGCTGGCTAACCATGACTGGCTACTGAGCCATGTAGAACGGATGTAAGCATGTATTATTCTTTTAAAGAAGCTATTAGAAAATTCCAGCAAAGAAAGCATGCCTAGCTGCCAGTCTGCACTCTCTGACATTCTCTGCTCCAGTGATGTGAAATGGAGATTTACTACAGACAAAGGTACCACTGCTTTCCCTTGCTTGGAACTGGTAAAGTATCTGAGAGGGCTATCAGTATTTCACTGCTTTGAAAGGAGAGGTAGGGCCGGGGATATAGCTCAGTGGCATAAGCGCCTGCCTGGCAAGTACAAGGTCCTGAGTTCAATTCCCGGTACCAAAAAAAAACCATGAAAGGAGAGGTAAATCTACATGGACCTTGTATGCTGGCGAGAACAAGCATATGCAGAAGACTGAATGACAGGAATGCTAATAACAACCCAAAAACTTCAAGAAGGTACTGTGAATATCCAAATGATAAGGATTTTCCACTTTGGGAAAAGTCACCGAGAGTATCAGTCATGCGGACAAATGCAAATTACTGTTTTGTGTGTACTATCCCCCTATGCCATCCCTCTATGATAAATCTCTTGAGAAAAAGCAATAAAACATGTGGACTACCTCAGCTACGGTAAGACTCAAAAGCCTTCTGCCAGGTGTGGGGACACATGCCCAGAATCCCAGAACTCAGGAGGCTGAGACAGGAGGACTGTCATGAGTCTGAGGCCAGCCTGGGCTCCTGAGTGAGCTCAAGGCCAGACTAAACCGCACAGCAAGACCCTGTCTCAGAAACTAACATACGGGCCTCGCAGCTCATGCACTGATGACTGCTGCACGCTCACGAGGCGTCAGGAGAACCGGGTCATTCTGTGGTATACAAAAGGCCCACCCGTGACACTGTCACAATGGCAGAGGAGTGTGGATGAAGCTACCAGGCTGTAGATGCAGCTCCGCGGCTGGGCACGTGCCTGGCATGTGTGAGGCCCTGAGTTCAATCCCCAACACCACAGTAAAAAAGAAAAGTGCAACAATCAAAGGAGATTCAGAAATAGTTACAAAATTCTCTCTAAAGCAATTAATTCTGGGATTCATAGGTGGGCTCTGATATTCCATGAATACCCTGAAATCACATAAAGTTTTGCCTGTAAATGAGTATTTTTCTAGAATAAGAAATCTGTAGTTTTCTTCACATTTTCAAAGAAGTCCAAAATTACTCAAAAGTTAAAATCTGCCGGACGTGATGGTGTACACCTGTAATCCTAGCCCCTGGGAGGATGAGGCAGGAGGATCCCCTCAAGTTCGAGGCCAGCCTGGGCTATGTAGTGAGTTCAAGGCCAGCCTAAACTACATAGAGAGACCCTGTCTCAAAAAAAAAAAAAAAAAAGTTAAGGGATCTAAGAAGTTTAGTGGCAGGTTCAATAAATCTCAAAGACTACCTCCAACTGTTTTAATTACTAAAAATACTGCCTTAAGAAATTAAAATTCTTAGCCTGGCTTGCTACCATACACCTGTAATCCCAGCACTTGGAAGGCTGAGGCGAGAGGACAGCCACAGTTTAAGGCCAGCTTGGACTACTTAGTGAGTTTAAGGCCAACCTGAATGATATAGTGAAACCTTGTCTAAAACAAACATTTAAAAAAAAGAATTCCAATGAAATGCATTAATGAATTCTATATCTAATTATTGTGACAATACATACAACTTCTGGACAGCTGTAAATACATTTCAGAAAAAAATAAACACAAAAATTTCAGATAAAAATAAGCTTAAATTGGGCTGCGGACATAGCTCACTGGCAGAGCTCTTGCTTAGCATAGATGAGGTGCTAGGTTCATTCCTCAGAGGAAAGGAGGAAGTAGGGAAGGAAGAAGGCAGACAGGCAGGCAGAAAAACAGAAAAGCTTACATTATAAATATATTAAGTTACTTCTCACTAATTTCCAGCATACCACTCATACTCCATTTAGTTCAGAACATGTGAACTTTGTACTGAACTCAAGTGCTAAAGTACTGTATTTCTAGACATTTATGATAAAATAGAGCAACAATTAACAAAAACAATTACAGAAACTAATCCAAATATGGCTTAAAAATGTAAAACATGAACACTTGTTATAGTAAGTGCCTGCTGAAACATAAGGCAGCAAGTGTGACAGTAGTTTCAACCTGAACTGCCTCGTGGAGGAAGACTGCTGCTATTTCATTAGCTACTTCCTACTTTTTGTCTAGATCAGTGCTACTCAAAGCGTGATCTGAACACAGTGCTTACCTATGAACTGTTTGTAAGTGGTTTGTGACAGGTACAAAGTAATAGTAAGCAATCAGAAAATTTAACAAGCATTTACACTTCTGCAACATTTGTATTTTTATGTAAGTTCTGGTCTACAGTAGATAAGGAGGGGAAAACAAACAAAAACCTTAACGTCCCCAAACACAGAACCCAAATTATACTGTAAGATTTTAGCTGCCCCTTCGCTGAAACACCAAGTATGTGGTTTCAAAGAGGTCGATACACTTGAAGCGCACTTACTCTCTGTGCACTGGCTTATTTCTGGTTTCACTCACACGGACACCACTTCTAAAGTTCACCACTAACCTTATAGAGCCTTCAGGTGTTTCACAACAAGATAGCTGCTTTTTAAAAGAGCTTTCCTTTTTCTTGTCTTTTGCTTCTCTCAGTTGTCTTTTCACTTGAACCTATGAGAAAAGCAAAATCACCTATTTAGAATGATAATCCAACATCTCCAATGATAACCATTTAATTGTCCCTTACCAACTCAGGATGCATGCTAAACTCTGGAGAAACAAAACAGTAAGAAACATGGCATATACATATGTTAAGCAAGGGGCTGTGTGTGTAAGCAAGGTGGAAGAGTGTACAGGCCCAGCGTGATGGTGCATGCCTGTAATCCCAGCACTAGGGAGGCTGAGGCAGGAGGACTGCTGCAAGTTCAAGGCCAGCCTGGGCTACAAAGTGAGTCTGAGGCCAGCCTGAACTGCATAGTGAGACCCTGTCTGAGAAAGACAAAAAGGAAAGAGTATGTGCCCAGTATGCACAATGCCTAGTGTCCAACCCACCACAAGAAAGAAAAGAAAAAAAGAAAAAAGGAGAAGAGGAAAGAAAAAACATTCCAGATGGAAGAAATGGCACAGAGTTTTAGGAACAGTAAGAAGTCAATCTAGATGGGGAAGAAAAGCACAGGGACCAAGCTGTAACAGTCTTTGAACAAGAAAATAATTCCACAGCCATCAGAGAATAGAATTTTTAAGGCAAGTGAATGAAATGATCAAATTTGTTTTCTTCAGAAAGATTAACTCTGGCAGTGATGTAGAGAATGAATCAGTTAGGTAGAAGCTATCAAAATCAGAAAGCTAGAAAGGAAATTCTTACATAATAGCTAGATCTACACTGACCAACATGACCGTCCGTAGGCATATGCCAACTGCTCAGTGAGTGTCACGTGGCTTCTCTGAATGCAGATGTGCTGCAAGTTTAACAAAGGCTCACTTCAACTTGAAAAAGAATGCACAATCTCTTGGTAATAACCCTTTACATGTTCTATGATATACTGCATTAAATAAAATGTATCACTAAAACTTACTTCAATTATTCCCTTTCACTCTTTTAATGTGCCCACTAAAACGTTTATACAGCGGTTCCCAGCCCTAATCTAGACAACACCATGAGGGCCTACAAAGAGGCAATAGCAGGGGAACAGAGGAAGACATTTAAGAACACAGTAACAAGAGAAAGTGAGAAAAGCTGAGAGCAGAGTACCTGCATTAGCAATTCAGGTAGGGCTCGGACAGAAGGCAGGGCATGACATGAGTCTTGGATATGCTATGCTCAAGGTTCTTTAAAAGCTTTATTAGGTGGAGACCTGCAACAAAATGGCTGGCAATACAGGTCTGATTCTCAGGGAAGAGATACGAGCTAGTGAAAGGATTTTAGAAGTAATCCAAATATAGGTAATTAAAGTATTGAAATAGTTGAGAAGACTGAGGGAGAAAGTAAACTCAGGTAATTGGAATGAAGATTCTGTGAAGGGCTCCAATGATTAAAAAAAGCAAAAAGGGAGAGACCTGAAAAGACTGTAGCAGTCATACAGGCAAAACGAAAATACATACATCTGCACAAAAGGATGTCCAAAGGAAAAAGAAGGTAGTCAATAACATACACAGAAAACGAACAACGGGATCTGGAAGTCAGAAGATTATTCAGCACTTAGTATGGACCATTTCAGTAAAACAAGATGGTAGAAGTCAACGCTCCCTGTGTGCTAAAAAGTGAACTGAGAGGCCTCATTCAAGAAGTGTTGTAAAAAGAAAAGGATGAATGAAGGTTTAAAAGCAGCTAAGGTCACAGGAAGGCATGAGCAGAATGTAGATCTCATATCACAAATATTTAAAAATAGATACCTTTTAACTTACAAATAAAATAATTAGGTTAGCACTGTAACCAAATTTTTAAGTAATATCCAAGCCCTATTAAGTAAATGTACATTTTTATTTCAAGCAAGAGAATGAAGTACCTCTGGAAGCTTAGTTCACCCCAATGAACCTAGAGGAGAAGTCAGTATGTCTTCCAGAGAAGCCATTTTATCACACCTAGTGTACCTTTTGCTCCAAAACACATTAATTTCCCTCAATGGCAAAGACACACAACAAGCCCAGTCCTTTTTCACATAATCATTTTATCTGAAATGCAATCTTGTTTGCACCTTACCAGGCTCATCTGACACAAATATACCAACACAGATTATAAATATCTACAAGGGAAAGACCAATGTTTAAGCACTCTTCCCTCCAGTAACCAAACTGTCAGACTAACAGTACTGTACTCCTCATACATTTCTCCCATTAAAGGCATCACATACACCTAAGTATGCTCATATGGAGTTATTTATCATTTATTCTCATATATGTAATTTTTATTTCTCATATACCTTACTTCACCATCCTTTTCCATTTTCTTCTTATCCTTATAACTTGGGAAGATGTATCTATTTTTTTGTAAGTGAAAAATCAACATCAATAAAGTTACAATCATGGTTCATAAGTATTACCAGCATTTAAGACCAAGAAATCATTTTATATTTAATTGTTATTTGCTAATCACAAAACTATATTTTTATGAAAACAGTTTCCAAGTTTTCTTTAAAATTTTTTTTTTTTTTGGTTTTTTGGAGCAAGGCCTCACTATGTAGTTCAGGCTGGTCTTGAACTCACTATGTAGCACAGGCTGGCCTCGAACTCAGGGCAATCCTCCTGTCTCGGCTTCCCAGGTGCTGGGATTATAGGTATGCACCACCATGCCCAGCAGTTTTCAGGTATTTCAGACACAAGTGTTGTGGGAGTCAGTCTTTGAATCTAACACTCTAAATATTTTTTCAATGGAAATGTATTTAAAGTGTGATTCAACTAATAAATGTTTTTGAAATACAAGGACTCATACTAAAAAATTTAAGTATTCTATAATTAGGTATAGGAGTTCTAGAGCATCAGAAATCTAATATATTTTTTAAATGTGGCATATCATAAGGTGACCCCCTTTAGGACACAAAGAGGATTTCCACACCTTTGCTGAAAGGTCTGAGCTTGTCATGCTGAAAAGGAGTAACACTAAGCCTAAAGATGAACAATTTTCAAATATATACAAACTGGAAATCCATCAAAGCAAAACAAGGGGCTGGGAACTTAGCTCAGCGGCAAAAGCACCTGCCTGGCAAGTGCAAGGCCGTGAGTTCGGTTCCCGGTACCGGAGAAAAACCAAAAAAAAAAAAAAAAAAGCAAAACAGCCTGAGTCAACTATACATATTTCATGCTGCAAAATAAAACATCAGACTTACCTTAATACAACCTTCCAAAGCACTGAATTTAAACACTGCCTGAAAAGGTTTTCGGTCAATAGGACATGAAGCCAGTGTCTGAAAAAGGATTAACAAAGTACCTTTACAAATGTTTCCTTAGGACATACCACATTAAACCATAACAAATACAGTTATAAGTTTCCCAATGAAACAAAAATACTTTTTTCTTTCAAGTATAAAGGAGATGAAATACCCCTGGCCTGTTGCATGCCACAGCATACCTTAAATTTATCTCATTCACTCAACTATTTACTCAATACCTACTGAATATCAGATAATTAGAGTACAGTGGTGAACAAAAGAGGTAGTATGTTTTTAATGTCTCATTAAATCCTGCTACACTGAGAACTACTGGGAAAAGGAAAGCAGGACTGAAACCCACCGATCTGTGACATGAAACAGACTGTAAAGCTAGAGCTCAGGAAGCTCTACATCTGCTTCAAAGGGAATGGCTTGGACAGACTTTTTACAGATTTTAGACCTATGACTTAACCTTTCCCCCCAAAATTAATTACTCTGAATAGGGAGCTATGTCTCAAAAGGTATGGGAAAATGAAGCATTCCTCTATCTCCAACTAGACACCCAGATAACCTCTACAGAACATTTACTATATATATTCCTTATCCATATCCCCAAGAGCATTCCTTACATAACCTCTCCAGTACATCCTTTTGCAGGTATCAGATGCATATATAGCTATCTTTTTAATATCACAATTCATATGCTGGTTTGAATTTTACTTTTTTTAATTATATATCTAGATTGGACCATTTTAGTAATTCTTAACAGCATGGTATGCCATTGTAGATTTAATTTATATTTTCTTTTATATGAGTAAGGTTGAGCATATTTTTCTTTTCCTATTAAGTAAGCAGACTTTGATAGGAAAATGGGAAATGTGACCTTACTTCAATAAATTAGTTCTGACTGCCATAGCTCAGCTACTTCCAAATACTAGGAATCTGGTATGCTATTACTCTCCCTGCAGAATCTGGTATGCTATTACTTTCCCTGCAGAAACCTAAGAAGCTTTGCTACAAATAACAAAGCAGTCCACGACTTTTAATAACACATTACAAACAGTAAAGCTACTTCAAAAAACTCAACCTTCTAACTATATGTGATTACCGATTATCAACTAGCATATGCTATACCAAACTTCCTAGGTTAGAGATTATATTACCACATTTATAATGTAAGAGTATTTAAAAGTAAAATCCTTCAAGTGTTTTCCACTTTTAGCGAAGTTTAAAAGTGTTTCTATTTTAAAGGTAAATGTGCATGAACATTCGTAAAATGAAGAACAAATGAAAATTTATTCCCTTCAAAGTTTGCTTAAAAACTAACATGTGTAGAGGCTCTTTACTGTCTACTTTATTTTGTCTTTTGTTTAAACTTGAGCAGTTAGGCAGCCTCTCTGTGCCTCAACTACCTAATTCATGAAAGTGGAAACTGAACTTATCCATAAAGTTTTTACAGGATTTAACTAAATAATTCGCAGAATGATGGGTAGCATTTATTTATACATGGTCTCACAAACACTGACCACCGTAATTACACTAACAAAAGACTTGGTTAATTAGTAAAAAGACAGTATGGCACGCATGCACGCACGCGCACACACACGTGTGTGTGACACAAAAACTTGAATTCTTAATGATTTTTTATTAGCATCTTCAAGCTTTACAACATATAGGGAAATTGTTTTATTATTCTACTTCAATTCAAAACACAAAGACTCAAAGAAAGCCTCTCTGTTCAAGAAATTTGCAGTCATTAACTTAATCATTCAATGACCAAACATATATTGTTTTTATTAAATTTCTTCCAATGACATTGGCTAAATGGTGTTCTTTCCTTTATAATTCACAATGTGACATAGTTTTAATTTTGATCATTTCAAATACTTGGGTCCTAGGTAGGATTTTCATTATCTTTCTCCTTAGGCTTAACTGTTTTGGATCTGGCTAAAGTTTCATTTGAAGAAATGGCTTTACTACCATAACAAAAAAAAACCAGGAAGAAGTAGTCGTCAGAAAACTACTACTATGTATTATCATAATCTGCCCATACTTCTATTTCCTAAAGATAATTTAGTTAACATTAGAAAATAATTCATTTTGCCTCGGCTTTAGCCAATAGAAAGAATTCTTGAAATTCAGTTATCTTCCCCAGGTAAGGAAAGCATAGGTCAGAAAACATGCCACCAATTGCAGACAAAAAAACCTTTGCTACGGCTACAAAACAATGCTATTTCTAATCTTGGAAAAAGTGTAGCAAAGTATTTCAGAGAGGAAATAGAAATGCAGTGATCCCCAGTTGTCTTCATAGATTAAATATCATTCAATAGAAATCGAAACACATTTGTGCTGGGGATATAGCGCAGCAGCACAGCACCTGCCCGGCAAGTGTGAGGTCAGGAATTTGACTCCCAATACGCCCCCCCTCAAAAAGAAATAAAAATACATTTGTAAAATTTAAGTAGATCTTTAATTTTTTTCTTATGTACACTATAGGAAAATTTTAAGGCAACTTTAACACAAACCGAAGTACATAAATAACAACCAAAGAATCAAATTATACATCATGTGATAACCACATGGCATAAATTTTTTTTAAAGATGGTTAAAATATAGTTTAGATTGCACTAATCTTACGGCATCCCCATGGGAAGTTTATCCTTACAAGAAGCATAAATCTCTCCAGAAAAGCCCAAAAGACACTTTAAGTTCAGTTTTCAGGGTAAAGTTTGTTTTGCTAAAGTAACTGTTTATATTTCTAAGCAGTGAGCTTTTAAAGCTTCGTATTTAAAACTAATATAGAAAAAATTTAACATACTTTATTGTTTTTAAAGTGATTCTAGGTTTAAAGAAATTACATGTTGTTTTCTTATACACAAAAATTCAATTATTCATTTTTATTCCTTATATACAACAAAATACCCTCAATTGTCATTCATTTAAATTAATATGACTTCCAATAATTTCTGAAATTTCTAGTTTCATAATCAACGTATCTAAAAAAACACCATTCAACTTTATGACACTGCTATAAAATTATTAGAATTTGTTCACTGCTTTACTGCAGTGTAATGTGTTCTAAAAACCAGAGCACATATTTTACTGTGAATGCTCTGAACCAGTTATATCAATTAAAGAGGCAATTTTAATAGAAAAAAAATCTTTCCTAATGATTTCAGTAAAACATACCCTAGAATTCTGAAGCGTTGTAAATTCCCAGCTCAGACAAACTCATACTTAAATGTAAGAACAGGAAACCTTCCTTATTTGGGAATTCAGGATTCGTGATTCCTAATACTTCTTCCTTCCTGCTGCTGCTCTATCCTCAATCACATAGGCTGCCTACAGATAGCCCCTCCTAGAGAAAGAGAAGCAAGTGTTAAAGAATAAGTGCTTAAAGACTGGAACTTAGTACCTATGCTTATTGGTAGGTTTTTCTGTTCAAGGGACTCTCTGGACACCTATCTCTCCTGCTAACAAGTAAAGCATATTTACAAAATTGCAATTCAACTCAAAGGTGATTTAGAAGGCATACCATTAGACATTGATGTTTACTTTAAAACTGTTTCCCAGGACCTATCTTTTTGTTATCATGGTTCTAAGACATCTAGGCTGGACCTCCAAAGTAAGTGCTCGCCTGTATTCAGCCCTGATGGTCCCTATCACATTTAAACATTCTTTTAAGACAGCCCTTGTCAATCCACATTAGCAAAACTATGGTTCCTTTTATATCAGCTTTTAGAAGCATACTCCTAAAGGAGAAATGGCTGTCAGTGATCAAATTAACACTAAGAATATGTTCTAATGATTCAAAGAGAATGCTTTTATGTTCTACTACACACATTTTAACACTTGAGTAGCATTATATCTAATCTTAATTTCTTCTGACATTTAATAGTTGACATTTTCTTTTAAAAAAAAAAAAACTCAATAAACTACCTGCATAAACCATTTTACATATTCTGATATTTAAAGTTAGGCTACACAGAAAATTTACCAAACTGGTGAGTAGAACATTAAATTAAAACCTTCACATATATTCTTTAGGTAGACTGCCCATAAGGTAAAAATACTCTGCTGTATCAAAGGATTTCCAAAAGATTAATTCACAGGGTAAAAACAGCAGTAAACCTAAAAAATTAGCCATATATAAAGGCCTAGAGGAGTCAGAACTAGTAATCTCCTTAAACCAATTTAAGCATGAAGATAGCCCTGATTACCTAGTGAAACAGTCTAACATAATTAAATGAAATAATGTATCTGACAATATTTTATAAAGGACTAATGTTCACAGAACTACATAAGAGAGAGTTTGGGATAGTTCAGGAACTTATTTTAAAAACTAAAATTTGAGGAAAAGCTAGTTGGAAAAAAAACCCAGACAATATAGCTCTGCTGAACCATTATTCGACTGAAAAGTAAACTTCCACTTAATAAAGAAACACTTAATCTATAGAAAATATATTATTAATCAAAACAAGTCAACTACTCACATCTTGATTTTGCTATATATTAGTTCAAAAATATACTCCTCACATGTCTGTATTCAACACTATTGACTTCAAGAACTGTGTATCACCTTGGTATGACTCTTCAAAAGCATACCTTTGTCAATATTTATTTAAATTAAAAATCTCCAATTTTTTTTCATTAACCTTACTTTTTCCCCCTGAAGCTGTCAGCATTTTATATGAAAGGGAGTACTAAGAGAAATATGCTGAGGGAAGACAATTTACCTAAAGTGGAACTGCTAATCACACGCTGAAAAAATACTTTAAAGGAAAATTTTTTATATTATTTCAAAGATAAAAGAATCTCAGTACATATCAAGAACATCCTAATCACACATCTTGCATGTCTTTTTAGTATATAAGTGGAGCTAAAGGTCTAACTCAGTAGTAGAGCACATGCTTAATGTGTGGCGCTGGGTCCAACCTCTGGAACCTCAGAAAAGAAAATATAGCAACTCTTAAACGCTCTAAACACGTTATGTTCCCAAACCTTAACCTGTTAAAGGCCAAAATTTTAACCGCCTCTTAGTAACTGTGCCAAATCATAAATCATATTTTCCTCCGTACTTAGAGTGTACACAGGAGGTATCTTATCTGTAGGGAAAAAATTTATGATCAGCTGCCATTATCAGTACATGTGGTAGATTTTTCTAACCTTCAGTTTTCCAAGTATCTCCTTTAAAAGTGCAAACTCAGATAAACGAGGTTCGCTACGGCCATCCCACCCTAAGCGCACCCGATCTCATCAGAGGTTAATTTAATCGAGGTTAAATTCATGGGTTTTTTTTTGAGACAGGGTCTACGCAGTGCAGGCTGGCCTTACACTCAACATGTTGCCCAAGCTGGTCTTGAACTTGCAGTGATCCTCCTGCCTCAGCTTCCTGAGTACTGAGATTACAGACATGCACCACCACACCTGGCAAGGTTAAATTTATGTAAGTTAAAAACTCTAAATATAGACTGTTTTTCCTCATAGTATGGTAAAATAAATTCCTAACTTCATGACTAAGAAAATTTAGTACACTGGCTCTATAAATAATTCATCAGAGCCAGGTGTGGTGGCACATACCTGTAAAGCCTAGGACTCTGGGAGGCTGAGGTAAGAAGATCATTAAGTTCAAGCCCAGCCTGGTTAGCCGAGCATGGTGGCGCACGCCTGTAATCCCAGCACTCGGGAGGCTGAGGCAGAAGGATCATTGAGAGTTTGAGGCCAGCTTGGGCTACAAAGTGAGCTCAACAAATTTAAAAAGGTATTGACATGTAAGCTCAATGTGAAGGCCCTGTGTTTAATCCCAGTAGTGGAAGGAAAAAAACAAAAATATGTATTAGTTCAACGGCCCTCTTATAATTTCAGATTCTCAGCTCTATCAGAGTAATGGTTTAAATTAATCAAACTTTCAATCTGCTTTTACTGTCAATTATATCATCTTTATTCAATATGCCACTGCTGTATTATCATCATTATAGCACTACAAGCTAACAGGCTTATTATCTATGAAGTCCAAGAAACCTAATTGAGTAATAGTTAATACATTTAACTTCAATGTGTCCTAATGTCCTTACGGGCAAGCGATTACACTCTGGGCCTTTGAAGGCCAGCAGGTTCCAATATGAACCCTTCAGCCTCAGGGCCAGTGGAAATCCACGGCATCCTTAAGAGACTACAGAAGCTCAACTACTCGACCCTTTCCAAGTCCTTCCGCACCTTCCGTCTAAGTAACCAGAGATCCAAGACTGTGAAGTGTGAGGACATTGAGGTTAACTTTGATTTTGGAGACAGATATTTTAAGAGCATGAATGTTCAGAAATATGTCCAGAATACATATTCTAGACCATGATATAGCTTCATTTTTCTAAAATACTGGCTTCCTATAGTAAGAATTTTTCAATTCTTAAAATATGAAGATGAAAGTAAGGTTAGTCTCCCTTTGTCTGGAATGAAATGCCATTTAATATTTCAGAGAACCCTGACTATAAATTCCAACACAGGTGTACTTCTTGATACAGAACCTAGAATGATGATCCTGACTACACTTTGTGCTGTTTTCTTATGCAGATTTTTTTTTTTTTTTTTTGGTCTTTTTTTGAGACAAGTTCTCACTATGCAGTTCAGGCTGGCCTTGAGGTCACTTTGTAGCCAGGCTAGTCTCAAACTTGCAACGATCCTCCTGCCTCAGCCTCCCTCCTGCTTCAGCCTCCCAAGTGCTGGGATTACAGGCATGCACCCCCACACCTGCTTTATATAGAGTTCTGACTACTGTGAATTTCACTTTTTATCTACTCTTCCACTAGAAGTGAACATTAGGAAAATTTTTAACTATGGGCCAATTTTTTAAAAATTATTTTAACTTTAGGCTATTGTCAGAGGTGTCTGGAAACAAATTACTACTCCTACAGTTCAAAATCTCTTCTTTCCACATCAAATAAACATTAAGATGGTGAATTAAATAAAATTAAAGGGAAGAATGTCTAAGAAAGACTTAACACAGAGTATGGCTATGAGTATATAAACTTATTCTTAATCCTGAATTTGAAATAAACAGCACATTTTTCTCTTTAACAAAGGCGATTTAAGAAAATGAGAGACAAGCTCCTAACTAACGACAATGGGGTGGCGGGTGGGGGGTGAACAACCCTCACTGGGGAATTTGAAATCTGATTCTATTTGCCAAAGCACTTAGACACTTTAAAACACTAATCTAATCTAATTTTTACCATAGTCAAAGATTTAACTGAAAACTAAACCGAATGACAACTAAAGTCTGAAACTTTGTAAACCAGCACTGATTCATTCATAATTCACAATGAACAACTTATTAGTGGACTGTGCTCTTTTTACTGCTCACCCCGCTTAACGCATTAACTGATGGCTGCTATCCCCACGAAGGGCAACGAAATCAGAACGCTCTGCTTACTCTCTCCTTTCAAGGCAGTTACTGCTATGGTGTAGATCTAGAATGACCCCCAAAGCCCATGCGCGTGGAAGATGACTGGATTATGGAGAAGTAATGCTAATTTATTGCTTGGTGGCGTCCGGTGGGCGAGGTGGACCACTGGAGGCACGGCCTGCAAGGGTACACGTAACGCCTCCCCCCCACTCCTCCCTTCACGCTCTGCTTCCCTGCCCTGCCACATGGCCCAAGAGCCAGCCCACCACAGACCAAAACCTGCACGAACAGTGAGCCAAAATAAACCTCTCCTCCACCAAACTGCAGGCCTTGCGTAGTGTCCCAGTGATGGGGAAAAGTGACTGAGGTAATTACCGTGTTTTAAAAAGACCGTAATTCTATCTCACCCTCCCAGCCTGTTATCACAATGTAAGAGGGTAGTACACAGCAAATAAACATTTGCTTTTGAAAAGCAATTTCACTTCAATGAAATGTATCTATTTAAAGGAACACAAAGCAAAGACGTATAAAAGAGAAAGGTGTGGGCTACAACACTACGTATGTTATCAAGCATTTTCAACAAGGTTAAAAAAGTAAGTTTAGCACTGTCTAGTAGAGTTGAGTATGTGCATAGTCTCTAACCTAGCAATTTTACTTTTCAGAACATATCCCAAACACATTAAAACGTACACCACGGTAAAATTTAAGAGTGTGCTGACAGATGCTCTTGGCATGGTTAAGGAAGAATGGAGAGTCATGTTTACTTTATACATTCTAATTTCTTAAAGAAAACAGTGCATTATTGAAGTTGACAATTTATGTATACAATCATAAAAACCACTCAACTGAAACTTCCTACTCATTCAATACCTCTGTCTAAAGCAAAATCCTTTTCTAAAAACTAATCACAAAGCAAACCAAGCTGCACTAAATTCAACACAGATTAAATCTTTAATTGGCTGGCAGAGAAAAATATGCTTTCTTACTTCATTCATCAATGTTCCTGTAAATATACGTATTTACTAATCATACTAACCCAGCAAAACTCAAATACTTTTTCCAGAAATGCATTTTCACCTTTCCTTAGTCCCTTCTTGCCAAAGGTTAGTTTAGGTTTTAATCTAAAACAGTTTCTATGTATATTACTTCCAATTCAACTGGTACGACAAATCTTCTCTTCTCCTAGAACTCAGCCAGAAGACCAGCATAAAGTCAGTTCTCCTTCCCATAATTATTAAGAAAAATATAAGTGAAATACAGACATTTCAAAATCCCAGTAGGTAAAATCAATTATTTCCAGTGTACACTGAAGGGATAGTGGACAATTTTGAGTGCCACTGTTAACAGCTAATGTTAAAAGTATTTCTTTAAAAAGTATTTTAGATATACAACCTAACTTTTTAGTAATTTCTACATACTGACAAAACACCAACTCAAAGTACAACACGATTACAATGAACAATGAATTTTTATTTAACAACTTATAACAATGGGGCTTATAATGAATTAATATATACTTCAAAGTACTCAAACTGAGTTGATATAATACATTAAAAATCCAAAATGTGCTGCTTCTTATTTACACTCTAGGAAGAACCTCAGTAAAATCTCTAACTCAGACTTCTACATTAGTTCACAGTACATTAAAAGTAGGAATTGGAAAATACAATTCTAAATTTACATCTACACTTAAGCTAGGAGATCTTGGGCAAGTTATAGAACATAAAATCCAAGATTCCCCACCTATAAAATGAAAAGGTATTATCACATCTGTTCTGGTTATTCCACAAGGCTGATATAAACAAGAAATAAAATATCCTATGTGAAAATTATCTGAAAAATATAAAACAAGAAGGAGACAGGGGTCAATAATAAACAGACATTATCCTACAAGAGTCAAGAAAAAAGTATGATCCATCCTCCCAGTAAAGATTTCTTTAAGTATTAAAAGACAAACAACACAAAATTAGAAGAAAATATACTGACAGAATTTGAATAATAGGAGGAATTTATCCAAAGCAGTGGGGAAATACAATACTGTGAAATAATTCATGAGAGGTAGTATCAACATGAAAGAGACTAGGTGAAGTAAAACTTACACTAGGGAATTAACATATGGTAAGGTATCAATCACAGTTAATACTTCTCCGACTTACCTCTGCCCACTTAAGAATACAGGTCATACAGAAGACATGATTACAACATTCTGGAAAACCAACTTCCTTCTCTAATAGGGGATTAAGACATATTGGACATCTGTCTGCTTCACTGTACAATAGACCAGCGGCAGCAGTATTATCTCTGCTTCCTTCACCTGTAAAGTAAAATAGCCGTATGTGCTTTCAGGTCTTCCAAAACCAAATGACTTCAGTTTACGACAACAAGGTAAGGGCTCTTCGACCTAAATTAGAGCTTGGATAAATAACCAACATACTCCTAAGTCCAAAAGCCCCAACATTTACTTTCTTGTAACATATATAGGGGGGAGTTCTGGGAACTGAACTCATGACCTTGCACATCCTATGCACACACTCCACCACTGAGCTACACCCCAGACAACTTCATTATTTAATGGGGAGCAAAAGAAACTTTAATTTTAAAATACGTAATACTCACATGGTTTGAAATCTAAAAGTAAAAAAACGATAGTGACAAATCTCCCATTTAAATTTACTCCCAACCATCCAACCATACAGTCAGTCCAGCAAGTAACTGTTGCTTCTTCTAAAAATTTTTTTTAATGCACAGGAAAGCAAATCTTAACCTATATTCTTCCTTATTTTGCTCACACAAATGCTACACTATAAACACTAGCCTACCTAAAAAATACAAAAACACTGGAGAGCATTCATTTATTTTCAGCCTCTGGCTACAATAAACAACGGTGCAATGAAAAATTTTGCTATTTAACAGTTTTGAAAGTGTATCAACGGAATTCCTAAAAACAGAATTATTAAGATCAATGTATGTGCACCTTTGTAAATAGACGTAACTAAATGATCCTCTTTATGATTTGTACTAATTTGAACTTCTATCAACAACATAAGCAACCAACTTACAAAAAAGTACATATTGCTAGCTCATAAGCAAATAAAAGGAACCCTAAAATTCAACATAAAAATAAACAGTAATAAAGGAACAGTCAGCTGATACGTGAACAGTATATAGCAGGCAGGTGGAAATGCTCCTTTACCCTGGGTGCAAATGTCCATACTACAGTTCAGATCTAGTGACTAGGGTTACCCAGGTAGGGGAACTGATACAAGTACTGAGACTCCAGTATTAAGCCAAGATCCTTCAGTGGGGCTAAAGGTGTCACAGGATCGGTCAAGGAAGAAACAAATACAAATTTGTAGAGAAAACAACCTCTAAATGAAGTACTTGTGAAGCTATATATTAAATTTATCAAACATTATGAAACCTAAGAAAATAAATCACCTTGAGTTAGAATCAGCAGAAATAAACTTTAGAAATCTACTGGCCTCAAATAGAATTTTCAAACAGCACACAGAATGACTAACAGCATACAGACCCCAAAGAAAATACTAGTGAATTTATGAAGTCAAATTTGAGGAAACTAGATTCTAAGAGAAAGAAAAGGAGATGTAATCAAGGAAAAAAAAAAAAAAGAAAGCCAGGCATAATGGTGCATGCATGTAATCCCAGCACTTGGGAGGCCGAGGCAGGAGAATGGACAGCTGCAAGTCTGAGGCCAGTTTGGGCTACAAAGAGAGTTCAAGGCCACTCCCAACTGCATAGTGAAACCCTATCTCAAAAAGCCAAAAAAAAAAAAGCAAAAATGAGAAATGAGAACAAAACAAGATATAATATACTAATAAAATGCAGTTGAGAATAAAAAAGAAATAAAGAGGAAAGGAATGGAAATGATTTAAATACTAAACCAACAGATAAAGGAAACAATGTATGCTAAAGAAGAGAAATGAAAACATTCTAATCCTTTCCCAGAAACAATGGAGCAAAACAACGTAACTACAAACATCAAAGATGGGCCAGGGATTGGGCTCCGTGGTGCAGTGCTCGCCTCACAAGCCCGAGACCCTGAGTTTGATTCCCACTACCCCACCCCCAAAATAAATAAATAAAACATCAAAGATGGAAATACAATCGTAAAAGCAGAAAATGGGAAAAGACACATTATCTACAAAAGAATAATAATTAGCCCGAGATTTCCATATATCCAGGAAAAAAAAACCAAGGAAATGATTACACAATATCTTCAAAGTGCTAAAAAGAAACAAAAATTATTAACCCAGAATTATATAACCACAGAATATCTCTAAATAGTTTTGAATAGAAAAATTTAAGAGTGTATCACCAATAGACAGCTTTTCACTGAAGAAATTACTTAAGATTATTTTCAAGAAGAAATTGATGGAGGGGAAAGAGACTCAAGCAAATATTGTATGAAACATCTAATGTGTGGCAATTGGAAAGAACCAAAAACTGGATAACTATCACCTCAAACAGGATAATAAGCATTGAAGTGTTCCAAGGTTCTTCTGCTGATAAAGAAGATAAAGTCAGAAGCAGAGGAAAACATGGATGTTATTAAAAAAATAAAAGTAAACTCCTAAGCCCACATAGAGCTTACATAGTTAAACAAGCCAAAAAAGATAAAAACAAAGTACATAGTTCAACAAGATTTTTTAAAAAGTACACAGTTCAACCAGCCAAAAACACCTTAACCAAATTTAAAACAGGAGAGGAAAAAATATATATATACTTGTACATAGTTTATTTCAAAATTTAAGAACAAAAGTTAAGTAAAATGAAAAAAATTGTACATTTTTACATGCATACAAATGAACATTTTGGAAAGACTAAGCTTTGCTTTCATTCAACACACAAGCTCTACAAAAATGGAAAGTTACCTTCTGCGTCTTCATACTCTCCATCTCCCATGTGTAGGGTACACACAGTTTTCTTCTTCATTTCTCCTTGGAAAAGCGTTTCCTATAGAATGAAGTATGGCACAGAGGTTTTATGCTTGCCTTCTCCAAATAATGTCAATTAAATAGTTAATTTTAAACTATAAAAATTATTTTACACGTATTTTTTTTTCATCTTTTTGAGACAGGGTCTTACTATGCAGTTCAGGGTGGTCCTGAGCTCACTTTGTAGCCCAGGCTGGTCTTGAACACCCAAAAGTCCTCCTGCCTGAGTCTCCCGAGTGCTGGGATTACAGGTGTGTGCCACCATACCCAGCATAATTTTAAACACAGTACAAACCAGTCAGTTTGCAGATAATTCAATACTCTTTTATAGCACCTGTAGTAAGGATGAAGTCTTACTTGAAAGTCTTATATAGCTACTAAGTGACAAAAGCTAGTAATAAATTCAGCAACAGAGAAAAATATAGTCCAAAATCAGAGAAAGGAGAAGGACTTGAACTGGAGTTTTCAAGGATAGCAGGTTATGCATCCAAAGAGCAACACAGCACAGAAAAAAATGAAACACTATTTAGCTAAGTCAACCTGACAAGAACAAGTGAAAGCGTATCTATGTACACTGAGGAGAGATGGGAATGCAAACCAAGAACTTCATCTGAATGATCGCACTGATGATTAATAAAATAAGGACAGCAACGCAAAACATGTAGGGCTCTAATGACTGACTGAAAGTTTATTTCAACCTTACAATTCCTTTGAAGAAAAGTAACATGACAGAAGTTATCTATGGCTGCAGGTGTAGCTCAGTGATAGACCACCTGCCTAGCTGGTGTGAAGTCCTGGGTTCCATCCCCAGCACTGCGCAAAAAAAAAAAAAAAAAAAAGGGTGATATACGTTTACATTTTTTAAAAAGACTGTTATGTCAAGAAAGTATAGAGTAAAAAAAAAAAAGTATAGAGTGAATTACAGAGGGGAGAGCTTCATTAGAAGCAAAATGACTTGCACAGCTTCAGTTATCTGGCCTGTGAAACGAAAAACAAGAAATTAAAGAGCTAAATCATTTCTGAGGTTTGGTGAGCAAATATGGGAAAGAATTCAGATTATTCTGGCCTAAAGGATTAGGACAGTGATGATTCTAAGCAGCAAAAATGAGAAACATCGAAAATGAAGTCAATCTGGCAGTCAAAGGAAAGAAATGTATGAGATAAAATTATTTTTTACTCAACTCAGTATTCTTGAATTGATATAAGACACAGGACCACAATGCAAGGTTCAAATACATTTTAGAGGGCTGGGGATTTAGCTCAGCGGCAAAAGCGCCTGCCTGGCAAGCGCAAGGTCGTGAGTTTGGTTCCTGGTACCGGAGAAAAACCATAAATACATTTTAGAATTTCTAGGCACAAGAAATCTTACAAACAGCCTATATGTCCATTAACAGCTAAATGAATCAAGTATGGCATTTACACGCAATGGAGTACTATTCTGCCAGAAAAAAGGATAAACGAGTCATTTGTAGGAAAATGCATGCACCTGTAAACAACATTAAGTGATATAAATCAGATACACAAGATTAACTATCATACGGTTTCTCTTATACAAAAAATCCAAAGCATAAAGAGCAAAATAAAAGGTAATAGGAAATGGAGAGACACATCTTTTGCAAAAGGGAAACAGATCAAGAGATGGAGGGAGGGGTGAGGGTAGGATAGGGGAAGGAGACAAAGGATTAATATGTGATGTGCACATGTACCAACTCCCCACAAGGGACAGAATCATTATGTATTGCAAACATGTACTAGTAAAAAAAATAGAAATTGAAAAAAAGAAATCTCCAATTTTTTAACCAAAATTCTACCATTAATATCTAAGGTAATTTTTATAATTATTTTCTAAAATAATACACACATGCTATAATGTCCACCTTAAAGATGACTTGTCCAGGAAAACTCTGTAGTTGATCAAATGGAGAAAAATGCAGTCTCACCCTTTGGTTATAAAACCAACTGCAGCTGCCTTCTTTCCAAAGAGCCAGCCAGCACTTAACAGTACCTGAAGTTACAGTATTTAGAGGTGCGTGGAGAGGAGAGATAGCTCAGTCTTACAGCCACGTGCTTGGCATGCACAATCATTCATGAGGCACTGGATTCACTTCCCAGCACTCCTCCAAAATATTATTTTTTAGAAAGCAGTTAGGAAAATAAGTTTTTTGTCTTTCTGAGACAGGATTTCACTATGTAGTTGAAGCCGACTTTGGACTCCTCATGTAGCCCAGGCTGGGCTCGAAATCACGGCAATCTTCCTGCCTCAGCCTTCTGAGTGCTGGGACTACAGATGTGCACCACCACAGCTAGCGTGTAAGTTTTAAAAATAACCATGAGAATCAAGATGGCAGAGTGGTGAGCAGCAGCAAAATTCAAACCACTCTGAGATCTGGAATCCAGAAACCGAAAAATAACAATTTGGGGAAGAAAAAAAAAAGAAAAGCAGATTGCCGGAATTGGTAAAGAACTGACAAGAAAATTAAAAGCTAGGAAGTTGGCCCACAACACAGAGAAAGAAACAGTCTTGGGCTCTGTCCCTGGCTCATGAAGCGGGAAGCCTGTAAGATGCAAGATAAGCACTGGGCACTCCCGGGAGTAAAGGCTGCAGCAGACTGGGCCAGCAGGCAGGCTCCAGGCAGCTGTGAGCTTGCAAGGCAAGCCTGGGGTTTTACTCCAAGGGGAGTCCTTCCACGTGGCAGCCAAGTTGGGTAAGGATCCCAGAACAGGCACACATCACGTTGCTGCAGAGTGTTTAGTTGGACGTCATTCTGGGAAGGGTGAATTACTTGTATCTGCGGTTTAGAACAGCTAGGGAATGGCTTCACTTCAGTGTCCCAGTGTCACTCTCCTACAGCGACTGGGTGAGAGCCCAGGGAAACATCCGTGGGCACACAACAGGCCGGGAAGAGACCTGCCGAGGGTTCTGAGCATGGGGAGGGAAGGACACAAGCCCAGTTCCTCACTGGGAGGCCAGCCCACCTGGAGTTGCACTGAGTCTGAAGTGCAGCACTGAGTATTTCAGACCTTGCCCCACTGCACACACCCAGCACAGATCTGGGGTCTGACTGCCTTCTCTATCTACCTGCAAGAACATCAAGGACAAATTGCAATGTGGACATTACCACAGCATGGGATGAACAGAAGGGCTCCTGAATGAGTCCTCTCAAACCCACAGCCTGTACCACTAGGCAGAGAAAATCATGAATTCCTAGACTCCAAAACTGTGGGTGCAAGAAGAAAATCACTCATTCAAAAACAGAGAAATTGTTTTTTTCTGGTTTTGGTCTCTTTTCTCTTTTTCCTTTCCTCTTTCATCTCCACTGGTTTACTGGGGTCTAGGGAATTTTCTTTGTCCTTCCTTGTTTTTCCCCCCCTTTTTTCTGTTTTCCTTTTATTTTTTTTCATCTTTATTCTCCATATCATTTCTTTTTCTTCCCTCCTTCTTTTATCATCTATTTCATTTAGGTTTTTGTTTTCCTTTTGCTGTTTCCTTTATGTAATTCTATAAATACCACTTTACTTAACAGGATCCTTTGTCTCAGTTCTCTCTCTTCCTTCTCATTTCCCATTGGTTAATTTTTCAAATGATTCCTCTTGCAGTCCCAACTTCTACACTGCTCACTGTACAATCATTAAGCTTTATTAATCTTTACATAGTTAACACTATGTTCTTACTGTTGCATTCCTTTCCATCATTCGTGAAGGTACAGTTGTTGGGTTTAGTACATATGTGTTGTATGTTAGTATCTAGGTTGTCATGTTATACAATAACTGTGGATTTCTTTTGTATGACTGTGGGTGGTACATTATTGGTTCTTCTAGCATGTCAATATCCAATTTGTCTTGGACAATATTACTGTTGCAGATTTGTTTGATATTGCCAAGATTGCCTAACTCTTGCTATTAATGAGTTTTCTCTGTATGTCAATGCCCACATTACCTTTTGACATTAGCAATACTGTACATACTACAGTCCATTCAGAAAATTGTGTGCTAGGCCAATTGCACTGCATCCTCCCCTTCCAAATTAACAGAGATGGTGGGATTTTGAAACAGAGCTAAGTATTATAGTTAGCTATATCCACAATGCATAACTGAAAAGCACACTAATTAAAGATTACTCCTTTCTAGCAATAGTCTTTCCACTAGTGTAAGTGCCTACAAACCTAGCCACAAAACAAAAGAAACAAAAAATAATAGAAACATGAGAAGGTAGCAAACTGCTATCCAAAATTCCCAACTCCTCCAAAGTCAATCCTGGGGACATCAAACAAGAGGAAAGCAAAAGCCATACACTTGAAAAGGATGGCAGAAAATTGAAAAACAGATCAATGACGTGCTCAATGGACTACAGAAGCTGTAACTAAGCAGATAATGAAAGCATTAAAACAACCAGGGAGCTGACAGAAGAGACTAATAAAAAGCTACCTGAGCTAAACAAAATGATACAAAACGTCAAAAGATCAGTTTAACAAAGAATTAAGAGTCCATGAAAAGGTTCCAAACAGAAACTCAAGAGATAAAAGAATTATACTGATAGAACCACCAAGCAAGTATAAGAACTACTGTTGAACTCCTATCATTTTGCACGATGAAGCTCTGTACAGTTTCCAATGTTTTTTTTTTTAATTATTTTATTGTCTTTTATTTGTTACTGTCTTTGTTTGGTCAATCTTACATTCTTATGTCTAATGGACTGAGCAATTTTATTGAAGATAACAGTATGTAATTTAGCAACCACTGTATGTTTCTTTTGTTCTGTTTTATTTTATTTTTTTCTTCCAGTAACAGGAATAGAACTCATGACCTTGTGCTTGCCAGTCAGGTGCTGTGCTGCTGAGCTAAATCCCCAGCCCCTTAGCAACCACTGTAAATTTCTATCATTTTGTCTTAAGGTCATGTTTCATTTTTGTTGTTTTTGTTATTGTTTTGATTTTGTCTTCATTGTTGTTTTGTCAGTTTTTTAATTTTTAAAATAGAAAAAGAATTATAGTGAAAGCACGAGCAGTATAAACAACCAATGTGAGGACAAAATGCCAAAAT